CTCACTGGCTATCTACTGCCAAGGTGGACTTACGGCCCTAGACCACTGCAACCAGCCACAGGTGATGCTAACTGAAATAGAGGTCAAATAGACTGGGGTTGTGTGCTCTGCCCAACATTAGGGCTGTTTCAGAGGATTTATCTGTGGGACTGCTCAGGGCATAGGCACCATTAGGATCTCCCCATTGCTAGCTTTTGCTAACTTGGCACTTCTAAGGCAAAGTCCTGTGCTTACCACCCTGTCTTACTCCAGTAAATAGAGTCTTGCTCCATGCTATGCTGCTCAATGTGGGATAGTATTAGTGAAAGCAATCCGTTCACCACTAAGGCTAGAATGTGTTGCACCTGAGTCTCAAAGACATAAGAAAATATGCAGTCTCAGTGATGCATTCAGGTTACCAGGAGGTTTTCAACACCCTCTTTTGATTATTATAAGCTGCTCTATTGGCTCTTTTATGAAAACTGAGAATTTAGGTTACTTCCCTCCTCCAAGTATTATTTACTATACTATTTTTAGTTCTTATATCTTGTTCTGTCTCATCTTATATTATGCATCATGTGAACAATATGAAACTACCATGTTTTAATTTAAAAGGCTGAATCTCACCAAATTTGTATACTTCAGCTTAACTAAAAGAAGCTAACGCCAAAGGGGAGGGAGGGAGGCAGTAAAGGGGTAGGAAAATGGTGGAATAAGATGGACATCATTACACTAGGTACATGTATGATTGAACGAATGGTGTGACTCTACTTCATGCACAACCAGAGAAGTGAAAAATTCTGCTCGATTTGTGTACAATAAATTGAATAGCTTTCTACTGTCGAGTATAAGACAAATAAATAAAAAGAAGCTAATAATATCATTGTTTTTCTTCACTTTTTTCACACTACTTGTCTTCTGTCTCTGTATCTTTATCCACATATTTTCAAAGTCCTATAATATTAGTCATAAGTAAAATCTCCTGGAAAACAGAGGAGAGAGAGAGGGAGGGAGGGAGAGGGAGAGAGGGAGAGAGAGAGAGAGAGAGAGAGAGAGAGAGAGAGAGAGAGAGAGAGAATGAGAAAGCATGCATAGGGCAATTGTGACAATAAACATGAGAGATTGAGAAACAATTTAAGATAGCCAATAGAAACCTTGCAGGAAGAAAAAAAAATACAAACAAGCAAAGACAACCATCAGATAGCCCAAACTGAAATGGCCCATTGAGTGGTACCTGGGATAAGTGTGAAAAGATTCTACAATATGGTGTATCGTAGTGAAATTTTGGAGCAAGTCTAAGTAGAAACTTCTAAAAATGTCCAAAGTGAGGACTAGGGAAACATGGAATGAAGGATATGAAAACTAGACTGGCTTCATATACCTGTCATTGTTAACACTAGGTACTAGCAGACAGGTATGTGGGATAGATCCTGAGAAGTAAAACTGTTTGCATAAATATATGAAAATTTTAAAAAATTTATAGGTGCAATCAAATTATTCTCCCAAAATTCCAAGTTACATTACTAAAAACAGTGTGTGCAATAGCAAACTATGGAATTAGCCAAGGTGTCCATCAATGGATGAATGGATAAAGAAATGTGGTATATACACAATGAAATTGTATTAAGCCATAAAGAATATGTCATTTACATGAAAAATGGTTGGAAGTTTAAAAAATTATGTCAAGAAAAATAAGCCAAACTTAGGTCAATGCACATATTTTTTTCTCTCATATGTGGAAGCTAGAGAGGAAAACAGAAAAGGAAGTGTGTGTGCGGGGAGGTGAAAATCAAAAGGAGATCAGTATAGTAGAGAAAAGGGACCAGGGGGAGGAGGAAGGAGGAGGCAAAGAGAAAATACTGGGGAATGAGATTGGCCAAATTATATTGTTATATTGTGTGCATGTATGAATATTTAACAACAAATCCCACCATTATATATAACTATAATGCATCAATAAAAATATGGAAAAAATAAAATCCCGTGTTTAAAATTGCTCATTTCCCTCCATTCTAACTCATACTGGATAGCTATCCATTAAATTTTTTGTTCAACCTCAACCCAACAGATGATTGATTTGATTTGCATTTGGCTAATAGTGAAATGAGAATTTTAAATGTTTTGAGTGCTACGTTCCTTTTCTATTTTCTAAAGAATTCATATAAATTGTATTACTGCTTGAAATACTTGCCCCCTTTGGGGCCCCTCACTAGGAAAGGCTTATGTTCCAGCCCCATGGATATCAGGATTGGCTTTGTGACTACCATGGCCTATAGGATCCAAGTGGAAGTAACACATGCCACTTAAAAGATTTAAGAAACCTTGTATAGTCAATCATGAGAACCAACCTCTCACTTTCGTATTACTCTACAACATACAGTGAATTTCAAAAGGTGAATGAACCTAGAGACATCCTGATTTCATCTAATTTTGGGGAAATGGACAAATGAGGGGAGCAAATGTTCTAGTCCTATCCCAACAAATCTGACTGAAACTTCCATCCACAATGATTCTATAAACATTAAATCAAGCACCAAAAGCTAGGTGATGCTCTAGGCCATGGTTTTGGCAAGATTTTTTTTGGTGACTTATTTTATTTAAAGACAATTTTTTGTAATGCCTGGTTACAGGACTTTATGAAGAGGTGACATATTTCCTTTTCCTTAACCATGCATTTTTATTTTCAACCTTCTGCAAAATGGTGAAAGTTTTTGTTAATCTCCTAGTTAGTGATATAAAACAAAGGTCATCAAACCATCTCTAAGGAGCTAGGTAGTAGGTTTTACAGGCCACAATATGGTCTTTATCATGTGTTTTTTTTTTCTTATAAATGCTTAAAAATGTGAAACAAAAGACATTTTTAGTTTGTACCATACAAAAAGAGATGGCCAAATTTGCCCTGCAGTTGGTAGTTTGCTGACTCCTAGTATAAAAATATCTACTTTGTCTTGTCAGAGAAATTGCTCTTTTTAGCCTGACAGTCTACTATTGCCTGAAGTCAAGTAGAGAAGGGCCTTATTTAAATTCAATGTGGCATGTGAAAAAGGTAGAAATGAAGAGTTCCTGCTCACTTTTGACTCTCCCAGGCAGTTTGTTCTTCTTTCATTCATTCATTCAATAAATTGGTTAAGCACCTACTATGTACACTCCTAAGTATCTTTGTTAGCAAGATTTCCAGTGTTTCTTATTTATATGTGGTGCTGAGAATCGAACCCAGTGCCTCACACATGCCAGGCAAGTGTGTAACTGCTGAGCCCCAGCCCTAGCCCCATGTTTCTTTAAAAGGGTTAATTTTCCCAGTGTCTCTAAACCAGTAATTACCAGATCTTAATATTCATGTTTAGGAAAAATTGGAACAAAATTCCTACTGGCACTCAAAAGAATTCATGATTATAAAAAAATGAATCTAGCTTAATAATCAGTTGCACTTAATACTGACACATCCTTGTGTCACAGCCTAGAAGAGGAAAAATCTAACTATCTTTATACCAAAAAATCTTTTCTCCCATAGGTTGAAATGTTCTTTAAAAAAGATCTCAGATCCTGAACACACTCCAAATAATTTCTTCCTACTTTTCTTGTTTGCTGTCATGTAACATAAAATCTGGATCCAGATAGGGTTCCTCATTAGCTTTTACTTTCTTTCTTTCTTTCTTTTTTTTTGCAGCACTGGGGATTGATCCCAGTGGTGCTCTAACACAGAGCTAAGTCCCTTTTTGAGACTAGTTTAACTTGCTCAAGCTGGTCTCAAAGTTGTTATCCTCCTGCCTCAACCTTCCCAGGAGCTGGGATTACAGGTGTGCACCACCCCAACCTGGCTTCCTCATTAGCTTTATATATCAGCCATAGAACAATACTATATTTAGGAGTAAATATCACCTCTGAAGTAGTTTGTATTTCCACTTTTCAGAGGAATGGTCATGTTTCTTCTAGTTAAAAACTCTAACAGTTAGCTTTTTGAATCCTGATATTTATCCATGGAAAACTTATTCAAGGCAAGAGAAGACATTTTATTAAAAAAAGGAGCCAAAAGAAGATGTGGGGAAAAAGGCACACACATTCATTGCTGGTGGGACTGCAAGTTGGTGCAGCCAATATGGAAAGCAGTATGGAGAATCGTTGGAACACTGGGAATGGAACCACCATTTGACCCAGTTATCCCGCTCCTTGGTTTATACCCAAAGACTTAAAACCAGCATACTACAGGGGCACAGCCATGTCAATGTTCATAGCAGCACAATTCACAATAACTAAACTGTGGAACCAACCTAGATGTCCTTCAGTAGATGAATGGATAAAGAAAAATGTGGTATATATACACGATGGAATATTACTCAACAAAAGAGATAATAAAATCATGGCATTTGCAGGTAAATGGATGGAGTTGGAGAATATAATGCTAAGTGGAGTTAGCCAATTCCCAAAAAACAAATGCTGAATGTTTTCTCTAATATAAAGAGACTGATTCATGGTGAGGTTGGGAGGGGTAGCATGGGGGAGGATTATATGAACTCTAGATAGAGCAAAGGGGAGGGAGAGAAAGGGGAGGGGCCATGGGGGTAGGAATGATGGTGGAATATGATGGATATCATTACCCTAAGTACGTGTATGAAGACATGAATGGTGTGACTCTACTTTGTGTAATCAGAGATATGAAAAATTGTGCTCTACATATGTAATATGAATTTTAATGCATTCTGCTGTCATATATAACAAATTAAAATAAAAAGGAGCCAAAGGAACACAAAACTTCTGTATTAAATGTAAAGATTGCCCCAGTGCAGCTCTTTGTTAAAGACATCAATTATAGTAATCTGGTCACCCACACCACCAAAATAAGGCAAATTTTGCTATTAGAAGTGATTGTGACTTTCCTTTTGACCATGCAAACAAAAGTGGAAATGTTTTGGGAAATCACTATGCAATATTCTCCCATGTCTCTTAAATACACATAATGCAAAATCAGTTTTCCCTTTGATCAAGTTCTTGATGTGGAGAAAGAATTAAACAGGTCAGGGTTATCACTTTCGTGCCCTTCTCTGTGTCTTTTTCTTTTCCTTGCGTTCCTGCTTGGCTAGTTTGTCTTTCTCCTTCTGTAGCTTGTCCTCTTCCTTCTTCCTTTGGGATTCATCCCGAAGTGAGTCTCGCTCCAATTTCTGAGCTTTGAGGACATCTTCTACATTGGTGTTTCGAAACAGAGATTTGTCAGAACTAAAGTTCATCATGGTGGCACCTGAATCATACTTTTCATCTGCTTCATCTGTTACATCAGCATACTGGGCCAGCAGGGCAGCTTTTCTCTGTTTTTCCTCTTCTGACACTACCCTTGGCTTCACTACAATCTGTGCCTGCTTCTCAATGAGGATAGTAATGGCCTGTACCTCATCTTTTTTCACTTTGGTGACAACATTCTGAGTTTCAGACCACCGTTCCACAATCTCCTTGCAGATATTACGGAGGGAATCTTCTTCCAGAAAAGCACACAGGATACCCTGCAGAGCATCCAGCTTCTCTTCCTCCTCCTCCTCCTGCAGGACACCAAGGATGTAGGCACCATAAATGGCTTGGTCCACTCCCAGCACCTCCAACCATCTGTCCAGCCAGGATCCAAAACCCTTGCCCTGGCCATCACTTTCGCAGGAGGCTGCCACATCCACTTCGCAGGGTGCTGCCATCTTGGGGTCGGGGTTGATATTGTCTTATTCTTCCAAGATAATTACCTGTGGAAATTCAATACATAAAGTAGCCAAAGTGGGTTACTCTGGTTAAAATGAGTTTCCCTAACCACTTCTAGTGAATCCCTGGCACTCCATAAAGTACAATTTGAAAACTACTGTTTGGAAATCCACCCAAAGGTTTTGATCCTGACATGTTTGTTTAGCATATGCTATCATCCCATCCCTCCTGTCAAGGTCTTTTGTTTTCTTTAGGAAGAACTTTCAGAATCTCAAGAGATCTACCCCTCTTTCTAGCCAGTCAAATGGCTCAAGATAAGACCAGCCATAATCAATCAGTAGCTTAATAGTGACTACTGAAGAGAATAAGACTGGTTAGTGAGGGACAGGCAAAAGGAGGAAATCAGTATACATATAAAATTTCCCTTTCTTCTCCTTTCCTTTCTTTCACTCCTTTCACCTCTGATCATGAAGGTTTCTTCAATATTTTTCTTTTGGTGGCAGTATTGCTCCACTGTAATAAGACCATTCTTTCCTCCCACCCTTGGCTTTTGAAAAACAACTACAATTTAAACAAGTCTATTGTCTTGAAAAAATATTTTATAACTAGGTCTGGGATTTGCATCTCAAGGAGATTTCCTGGAACCTACCCCTAATATTCTCTGTCCAGTCTTTCTCGATTATATTGGAAAGGCAGGTCAGGCAGATCCTATGATCTCTGTTTCTTTTTTTTTTCCCCAATAATTTCTCCTTGGGTATAAAACAGACTTGCTCATTATAGAAAATTTGGAAAACACAGAAAAGGTTAAAGAAAATGACAAACATCATCCTGAATCCCATAAACAACAGAGAGTACTACTGTTGGAAGTTTTTTTAAAAAAAATCTTTACAAATAATTTATTCTGTTACTACTACTACTACTACTACTACTACTACTACTACTTTTAAAAGCCCTTCTAAATGTCTAGAAGGACTACATATTTCACATAAGAACTTTTCCACTATGCATACAGCACTGGTAAATAAAATTACACATATAGCAAGGTTGTAATTTGAGGTAAAAACCTTCTAATATGACCATTTGGTTCTTGAACCTTTTCCTTCTCACTTCCTTGTACTTTCAATTCAGTGGACAATATAGGCATATACAATGCTTGGAGACTGAACATTATCTGTAAGTCATTTACAGAGGACAAGCTTCCCTATGAATTTCAAAACAAAATGTACAAAATGTGCTAATTTTACTAACTACTTTATCACATACTGGCATCCTCTTTAACATCTACAGAGTAGATGTCACAAAATTGGGACTCATTTACACATTATATACACAGTAGAACAAAGTGCACAAAACACAGAAAAATGATGCATGCAAATGTCCAAGTATGAACACACTAACATTTTATCTTTTGCAATTGCTTCCCTCCCACATCCTTCACATAGCTGAACAAGTACAGATGGTACTATCCTGCTCACAGAGGTGGTTTTACATTTTCATCCCAAACACAACATTTCATATGAATTTTAGCAAAAAAGATATTTACAAAGTGAAATTTTATTATCTGTACATTTGACATATATTGGACACTTCTAAACATCTAGACAGACTAGATGTTTCATGTAAGGACTCAATTTGCCCGTGTAAACAACAGTCTCAAAACTGCACACATGTAACAATAGTTCTAATTTGAAAATGCCTTTAAAATATAATAATTCTGGACCTTTAGCAACACAGTGGACTATAATGCTGAAATTTTCACAAGATAATCTTTCCTAGGAATTTAACATAAAACAGAAAATTTGTTTACTAATTCTACTTCTGTCATAGACTGGCAATCTCTATAGCATCTAGAAAGACTAGATGTAGATTAGGACTTGTTTGTCCTTTGTATACATTATGTACACAGCAAAGTGAAACAAACACATAGACTAAGAAATAGTGGTTGCTCTTGCCTCATTATAAACATACCAGCATGGTGCCCTTTCCCTTTCCTTCTCCAGAGAACCAGCACACAATGTATACTACTCGAGAGGGGTTTTGGCTATTCTCCCCACCCTCAAAATATTTCATATGATTTTTTTTTCATTTCATATGAATTTTAACAAAAAAGAAATTTACAAAATATGTTGCATTTTACTACTTCTAATTTTGATGTATACTGGGCACTTTAGAACACCTAGAAAGACTAGATGACCCAGTGCAGTAGTGCACACCTGTAATCCCAGCGGCTCCGGAGGTTGAGGCAAGAGGATCCTGAGTTCAAAGGCAGCTTCAGCAAAAGCAAGGTGCTAAGCAACTCAGTGAGACCCTGTCTCTAAATAAAATAGAAAATAGGGCTGGGGATGTGGCTCAGTGGTCCAGTGCCCCCTGAGTTCAATCCCCAGTATCCCTCCCTGCCAAAAGACTAGATATTTTAAAAAAATACTTAACATTGTCAACTATACATACAGTAATGAGGAATAAAATTCACACACAAAATAATGGTTATAATATGAAAAACATCTTTTACATCTGACCAGCCTGGCATAGGATCTTCTTTTCCTTCTCAACAGTCTTCTGCTCCAAGTCCTCTAACCCCCTGAACAAATGTTGAAAAGAGTTGCTCCTAGTGGTGGTCTATCTAACAACATTTCTTTTCTTTTCTTTTTTTTTTAATCTAACAACATTTCAAAGTCATTTACAGAATAGAGTAAAAACAAACAGGCATTTACAAAACATGTTATTTTCTTTTTTTAAAAATTTACTTTTTAGTTGTACTTGGACACAATACCTTTATTTCGCTTATTTATTTTTATGTGGTTCTGAGGTTCTAACCCAGGGCCTCACACGTGCTAGACAAGTGCTCTACCACTGAGCCACAACCCCAGCCCCAAATACACGTTATTTTCTCTCTCTACTTTATCATATTTTGTCAACGTCTTTACGTCTAGACTGTCCAGATGGAGCAGTTTTCTTTTAAGGGTTGGGGGAAAGTTGAGAGCACTGTTCTCATTCTGCAGAAACACGCCTTCTACAAGGGCCAGTGAACCTTCCCCAAGGCGGCGGCCACTGAGCCCAACGTGGTGCCTTCCTCTGCTGTTTCTCTCTTGGCCAGAACTCACACCAGCAGAACAGGGTCTGCTAACCCTTGCACCCCATGGCTGCTAACCACCGTTCCCCCACGTGGACCCCCAAGTTCGCCCTGATGGCTGCTATCTGTCCCCACCCCTGCCCTGTCCCACCCCACTGGCCTCTAACCCGTCCCTGCCACTAACAGTTCCACCCAAACACTGCCAACCGTCCGTGGGCCACTAAGTGCCACCCCCAGCCCCTAACGGTCCCCGCCATGGACCCCAACAGGCCCCCGCCAAGGCCTGGTTTCCCCACCTGCCAACCGGCCCCAGTGAACCGCTCGGTACCCCCAGCCTCTAACGGTTCCCCCATGGACCCCTAACAGCCCCCACCCCCTGACGGCCTCTAACGGTCCCCCCAAGCTGCTAACTGTTCCCTGATGGCTGCGAACTGTCTCCCCCACCGCCCTCTATCCCCCAACGCCCTCTAACGGTTTTCCCAACGGCAAATCAGTCCACTGCCGGCCTCTAGCCGTTCCCCCGCCCCGTCAGCCTCTAACTGTCCCCCAGGGACCGCTAACCATTCTTGCCTCCCTTATGTTCTCCCCGTTGGCCACTAACTGGTCCCTCACCGACCGCCAAGTCCCTGCCGCCCCCACCCACCCTCGACGGCCTTAAACTCCCCTTGTCGTCGACGGGGACTTCACTCACCTTCCTGAACAGGTGTTAGGTAACGCCTTTGTCTCGTCAGGAAGATGTGAGGTCTCGTTGAAAACCACAGTGGTCACCCACGGCCCTGATCTGGGCGGCCCCGGGTCTAACGCCTGGCCCAGCTTTCCGGCGTCCACCCACCCTCTCAGGACCTCGAGGCCCCTGCCAGCCTCTATGGCGTTCTAGCGGGGGCCATTTTTCTCGCCTCAACTCACCTCACGCCGCGCCCCGCCGCGCCCCGCCGCGCCCCGCCGCGCCCCGCC